TAACTGTCAACATGATTGATTCCAGCCAACTGAAACTCATCCATAGCATATTCATCATTGATGAATTTTTAATTATGGTTAAATTGTGATTTTAGGGCAAGTTGTATGAACAAATTCTTACATAAATGGATTTTTTTTACTATCAAGGGTGGAGTAATGTTTTGCATTGAGCATATTTACTGTAATTTGCAAAGTTATGGGTACTTGTTTATTTATTGTTACATTTTCAAAATTTAAATTTTTTAGAGAAATGTACAGTATAGGTAAAATACAAGAAAGAGTTCAAAGAATCATGTTTCTTTCTAGCTTCATAGCAGGAATCTGCATCCTATTTTGGTTAAACATAGTGCTTAATATACCTGTCTACCTGTCTATCAGCTAAATAGATCAGAATGTGCAGATATCCTTTTTATCTTTTTCCCTCCCATCTTAACTGGCAAAAATTAATCAAATTATTTTAAATTATTTAAAACCAGTCTATTTTCTTTAGTTTGATGTGCAACTAGATTAAGCTACCTTGAATGTTTGCATGTGAATATTCAATCTTTATTCACAAAACATCTATCTTTTTTTCATAATGTGACTATGCCAGCTATCTTGTCCAATAAACTGGTGGAAAATATGCCTGATGAAGGCACAGTGAATGAGAACTATGGTGAATCATCTCCAGATGTCCTCAGTGCAATTTCAGAGTGTACTCAGGATGCTAGTGAAGAAATGGTAATGCTCCAAAAATAAGACATTTTATATATTTGAACAACTCTTTGGAAATATAAAATATTGCTTTTTGGTAAATTGTGGAATGGGGAGAATGAATGCATAGTCTTGATAAAAAATGGTGCTTGCCAAACAAGAATGCAACGCAATTTACTACTTTACTGTTATCATAAAAGTAAATGTTGAATAAACTCTAATTTGTTACCTCAAACTCTACTAGACAACTAGAGTTTCAAAATAGAAAGTGCTTCAATAACAAAATGCAGAATAAAATGCTGCCCTTGTTCAGCTATAATTTTCAGGAAATTACACTAGGAGCCCTAGATTCCTCGACTAGAGGGAGGTGGATGGGGCTAGTGGTTTTAATTAGTTTGCAAACAGCCTTTGCCTTTTCTCCAGACAAGATGGGTATCTTTGATAGGTAGAAAGGCTATTTTGAAAAGTTGGCTTATATGGGGCAGCCCTGTCCTTCAAGAGTTACAGTAGTGCTTAAAAGTTTGTGAACCTGTTTGGATTTTCAATATTTCTGCATAAATATGACCTGAAATGTGATCTGTTATCTACATAGGCTATCTAAAACTAGATAATGAGAACCCAGTTAAACACAATGAGTCAACAACATTATACTTGTTCATTTATTTATTGAGGAAAATGATCCAAAGCTACATATTTGTGTGTGGCAAAAGTATGTGAACCTTTGCTTTCAATAACTGGTGTGCTCCCCTTGGGCAGTAATAACTGCAGCTAAACATTTCTGATAACTGTTGATCAGTCCTGCATATCGGCTTGGAGGATTTTAGCCAATTCCTCCTTACAGAACCGCTTCAACTTAAGGATGTTGGTGGGCTTCCTCTTGTGGACTGCCTGCTTCGGGTCCTTCCACAACTTTTATATGGGATTAAGGTTAGGACTTTGATTTGGCCATTCTAAAACATAAACTTTTTTCTGCTTTCACCATGCTTTGGTCATACAACTTGTGTGTTTTGGGTTGTTGTCTTGTTGTATGACCCATGGACAGATACCCTGACATTTTCCTGTAGAATTTGCTGGTACAATTCAGAATTCATAGTTCCATCAATGCCGTCCTGGTCCAGAGGCAGCAAAGCAGGCCCCAACCATGATACATATGTAGCTTTGGTCATATTACTCAATAAATAAATGAAATAAAATAAATAAAAGCTTGGATTGATGTTCCAGTTATGCTGCATTCCACAAAATGCCTGATTTGGCTGGAGTGACAATTGGTTTAATTCATCATCTTGCTTGGGTTACTACCATATTAATTATAGCAGGTTGCTTTTGAGAAATGTTTAGAAACTGCAGATGATCTAGAAGATGGCAGAGAATTCATTGCATAGAATCAGACATTAAAAGTGGATGTCTGTCTTATTGCTGCAGTTACATTTGCTAGAAAAGTTCTCCAGGCATTCGACTGAATGCTTGAAGGTCTCAAATTAGGGAAAGAGCAGAGCTGGGCATGTAGCCCTGCTCCTGCCTTTTCCTTGTTTGTCTACTCATTTATTTTTATGCCACCTGATTCCAAAAAGCTCTAGGCAATTAACAATCCCATCATAAAATAAAACAGGGTACAAGAATACATAAAAAACCATCAGAGTCAAAAGATGAAACCAGAAAATTACAGCAATTGTGCGCTTGCAACCCCTCTTCCAAGCAAAGCATCCTCCTTCTCTGCTAGACAGAGCAGGTGGGTCTTAACAGTTTTCCAAAAACCTAGGAGGGACAGAGCCAACCTGTGGGAAGATAAGTATCTATGGTTGATAGAAAGGGGACAGCTGTGGGGACAGCTATTTAGGCCTGCATCCTAGGCTGTCAGCCCTTCATGGTAGACCAGACTAGGAAACCAATGCCATATAGATCAGTAGCACTTTTATTGTAACAGAATCTTGCAAGTCTGAATGTGCATCCCTTCTCCCTCCCTTTATCTTAATATAAACTATCTTTGTGAACCAGAGAGGGGCTTGTCTCAGATGTTTACTTATGATATATTCTTGGTCCATGCTCAAGCCCCTTTTTATCTGACTGTGGCCTTGGTAGCAGCTCTTCCTCCTGTCCTTCAAGCCCATTCCCTCTGCCCTCTACACAGGCTCCATCAGATGACAGGTACAAAGGGATGGGACTTGGGGGAGTTGGCTCTATTCAGTCTTTTAGATAGCCATATGCAGAGCCATGTAGCACTTCAACGGCAGTCAGCAACTTGAATCTATCCCAAAGCCAACCAAGAGCCAGTGCAGCTGTGTAAGAATCGGATATACTGAGGTACACCAATCGCTGCCCAAGCAGCCGCATTTTGTACTAGCTATGGCTTCTGAATGTTCTTCGAGGGCAGCCCAGTCTGGAACACATTTCAGTATTTCAAGCAGGAGGTAACTAGTGCATAAATGATTGTGAGAAGATCTTTGTAACCATTTTCTCACTGAGAAGGAGCTGTGAGTCAAGGAGGACCCCCAAATTCTGAACCACCTCCAAATGGGAGAATGCATTCACAGTCAATGATGTTATTTCTCTGGCACTGTTAAGCCCACAAATCCAAAGCTAACCCAGCTTGGAGATATTCAGTCTGAGGCTCTTCCCTGCCAAACAGACACTGACACCTTCCATGTGTTCTGCATCATCTTTTTGGCCCAGGGCAAGATGTATTACCAAGTATCATCACCATATGGATGATACCAGATCCTGTACTGATATATGACCTCACTCAGCAGTTTCATGTAGATGTTAAAAAGAAATAAGGAGAGGACAGAGCCCTGAGACACTCCACGTAGTAAAGGCCTCTGAACAGAGCTCTTTTTCTCCATTACTGCTAACTGGAAGCACTCCTTCAGGAAGGAGTAGAACCCCTACAAAGCAGTTTTGTTAGCCAAATGTCATGTAAATTCTTCACAAGAACCCTTCAGATGGTCATGACAATAATCTTTTCCCAAGAGGGAGTGAATTGCTTTAAAAAGTGCCATTCGGCAGCATTTGTCAGACACAACCAGGCTGACAAAATATCTTCTTTTTGCCACTTGGATCACCACTGTGTAGGCGTGAATATGTAGGCTCGTGTCCAGTTAGATTCAATGTCCAGTCAATATCCATTCCTCCAGTGGCACTCTAAGGCATTTTCCTTGCCACTTCATCTTCATGAGCTGTTCAGTAAATCAAGGAGCAGCATCAGATCTGCAAGAGATGGAGACTGCTTCAATGGGATCTAGTCAAGGGCTCTAGCTCCCCCCCAATTCCAGTTGCAGGCAGAGTCCTGTGTGAACTGCCTACCAAATCCTCAGCAAGCACCCCAAGCACCCAAGGGGATTCTTTTAAGGGCCTGGGACAGATTGATCTAATAGACCCTTTTCTTCTTGCACTTTCATTTGCTCCTTTGTGCTCTCCATGCATTCAGGCGAAAATATGAATAGGGCTTAACATTTTCCTATCCCAGTTTCTCCTATTCTTTAAAGTTTTAAATGGAAGAATATCTTTTTTTAATCTCTCGCTTGTATATGAAGTTGTGTTGGTTGTCTTCTCTCCTGCCATCTAAGATGCATTTTGTAGGACAGAAGGCAAAACCTTCTAGCAGTTGTAATTAAACTCTGGATCTCCATTACTAAATGCTTGCCTAGTCTCCTCTCAGTAAGCCTTTTGTTGGCATCTGAAGACTTTTCCAGCTGAATTGATTCTGTTTGTCCTACTATATTGCCTGTGATGAATGTTTTTTACAGGTGATTGTTAGAATGCATTACGCATCTGTAGGTAGCTAGATATTGATATATTTTTAATTTAGTGAGTACATAATTAGCATATTTGATTCAGCAAAACACCTTCTCGGTATCTCAGTTAAAAGAATTAAAATTAATCCAAGCAAATGTGAAAAACAGATTATATTGATTACTATTAGCACCTACAATAATACTTCTAACTTAGACCAGATATAAGCAGTTTTATTAGGGGTGTACAGAACATTTTGAGATCAAAATATTTTGCCTCAAGACCAAAAGAATTGTCTCAAGCTGCTTCAGCCATCCTGAAGCTATCCTTCAGTTTCAACTTGTTTCATACTTGAAACATTTATGGAATAGTGGGAACAACCCATGTTAAACTTGAAACAATTGTTTTTAACCCAAAACGAAGTATTTCAAGCTAGAAACATTTTGAATATGAAGTATTTTGTACATCCCTGAGTTTATCCACAGAGTAAATAGCAAAACTCCGAAAAGGCTACAAAATTACGCAAACAAATTATTTGAAAAAGGAAAAACTGGTAATAATTCTGAACCTTAAGGAATTATCTGCATTTTTTTATTTTGTTGACAGATGTCGGTGGTAGTTTTTAAAATATTTGGTATTAATGGTGAAATTGACATCAGAGGTGAAGACACAGAAGTATGCCTTCAGATAAATCAAGTTTTAGCAAATCAGCTGGGCAATATCAGTGTTCGACATTATCTTTGCAATCGAACAGCAGGTAAGAAATAATACAAAAATGTACTAATGGTATTTTCACTTTAGTGACAGCATCTTGAACAATTGCTCTTTTTTGTTAATGGATTATGAAATAGGTTATTGCTTTGGACAATTATAGATGTATATAGTTATCTCTAGCAGCTTAGAAATGTTTGTACTTTTAAAAAAATCATTCTGGAAAAGAACAATAATGCTTTTCTTAGGCTTCAGATATTGAAATGAGCACTTGTCTTGTTCAGCACTTGCATCAACTAGTTTATATTGCAGCGATGTGAGTTATTTCTCACACAGAAAAAAAAAGCAGTTACCAAAACAGTAACAGATGCAGTGTGTCCTGCCTTCACAAAAGAGGCAGGACCTGCCCCCTCCATGCTGAAAAAGTGCAAGGAAATAGACAAGAATTTTGCTGCCATTGATTACCTATATATAGGTATCTCATTTGAAAGTACAGTACTTGCTGGAATTCTTGTATTATAACCTTAAACTTCCTTCTAATAAGTACTGTTGATCTGCATTTTTTTATTCTTGTTCCTTGGATTAACTGTTTTTAGTCTAGTCTGTAAAAAGGGAAGCTTGACAGAAAGCTATAGATTTCTTCTTAATGCTATTCAGTACATCTTAAGATGAAGAAATACTATGGAGTTTGTAATATCAGCATTGGGAGACACGACCTTAGGTAGATAAGTAGGTATGAAAATGTGAGAGCGAAAACATATGCTATACCTAATTAATCTTTTAAATTTCTATAGGGGTTGACTATTTGGATACAGACTTACAATGTAAAAATTATGGAGGCAGCTACCTGTGTAACTAAAATGATTCTGTCATGTCAAAATATAGACCATTTTTATTTGGACAGCTTTCACAACATATTAATAATAGGCTCTGTAGAGATGCATTTAACAATGTATAAAGTATAAACCTACAACCTGATTCTACACTTAATTTTATAACAGGTTCAGATCCTAAATGTGCAGCTGGGCCAATTAAACCAACTCCTGAAATAAGGCTGAGATGGGAAAGTGGACCCAGCGCTGTAATACATTCATTGCAATCTGAAAAAAATGGGTTTCTACAATGTCATGTAGAAGATTTTACTGCTGATTTCCTAACCTCCTCACTTATGAACATTCAGCGTTTCTTGGAAGATGAAATGCTTGCAGAAGTGATGCCTATGAATGTAAAAATTTCTAATACAAAAATCAACATAAAAGTATGTCATTTTTTAGTGAGCTTGATGTTCCTTCAAAGTATGTATTCACTATATGAATAGGCTAATTTTTATGGAAACTGTTTTTTTTTTAATTATTTAATAGTTCCCATGACTGGAACAAATATGTGTATATTTTTAAAAAGTGTTGCTGGATATAAACTGACTTTTGTACAAGGCTTTCTCAGATTTGTTCTGTATATGAAGTACATTTTCTCCAGATATATAACACAATGGTGATTCAATAATGGATAGCTTTTATCACCTGAGTGAATATTCCAAATGATGAAGAATATCAGAGCTTGACATTTGTTGCCTTTGAACTTATTTATAAGTGGCCTTTTAAAAAAAAAAATCAAAAGAATTAATTAGATGGTTCATGAGGTTATTCTAGTTCTTGAAAGCATATCTAATGGTTTCCAGGTGCTGCTTACAGTTCCAGTGCATTCTACATAGAGCTATTGAAAAGTGTAGAGTAGTTGAAATTGTGCAAAATGAAGTAGATAGGCAATTAACTGGTCCAAGTTACAGGGTTGAAATATGTGCATACTAAAAGATCTGCACAGTTGCTAGTTGCTTTCCAAGTGTATTCTAAGGTATCGGTATTTAAACTGTAAGTAGCTTAAGACCTTATTATCTAAAGGATTGTCTGCCCTATTGTGAATCTGTCCAGCTGTTAATATCCGCAGGAGAAGCTTTGTTGAAGAAGTTCCCATTATCAATGGCCCATCTTTTTGGCATGTGGAAAGGACCCTTCTCCTGCATTGCTCCAAGGCTATGGAAGACCCTCCATTAAGAGTTACATTTGCGCCCATTCTTTCTAAGTTTAGAAAATCTGTAATGACACATCTCTCTTGCCAGGCTTTAGATTGTTTATTAAATTGAGTATTCATTTTAATATTAATTTGTTTTAACATTTTTATTCTGTTCAGTTTTTCAAAAAGTTGAGTACTCACTAGATTAGAAAGTAGAATATAAGCTTAATAACTGACTGACTAGATGAACAAATGAATACAAAGTTTTTTTTGAGCTGGGATTTTTAAACTTTAAAGTTGCAGCAATAGGTCATACTGAGAGACATACAGCTACCAGCCAGTGTATTTAACATAGTATAGCTCTTATCTCAAGGAGAACATCAGGAATAGCTTTGAAGTCCTGAACCTCATTGATAGTGAACCAAAGGAAATGAAGAATGAACTTAAAGAAGTTGTGAAAAGAGACTGCCAGCAATAAAGATAGAAAAAAGCTGGATGTCAGAACAAATTGTCAAGAAGAGAAGAGAAGCCAAAGCAAAGACAGACAAGGAACTTAACAAAGAATTTCACAGAGTTGTTAGAAGAGACTACAAGCAGTATTACAACATCTGTAAAGACACTGAAGGTGAAAACAGGCATAGAAAAACAAGGGAAGTCTTTCAAAAGATCTCTAAACTCAGAAGGAGGTTCCAGTTTTGAATTGGTATACTAAAGGACACCAATGGACAGATCGTAACTGATTCAAAGGAGATCAAATGACGATGGAATAAGTATATTGAAATACTGTACAGTAGAGATGTCAACATCCAAGATACCTTAGAGAATATTTCCTACTTACAAGAACCTCTAGTTATAGAAGATGAAGTTAGATCAGCACTCTGGTCATTACCAAATCGGAAGGCTACAGGAACTGATGGAATACCCACAGAAGTATGGCAAGCAGCAGAAGAAGAATCAGTAAAGGTTCTAACCAAGCTATGCCAGCAAATCTGGAGAATAACACAGTGGCCAACAGATTGAAAGAGGTCAACCTACATTCCACTACCCAAAAGGTGACTTAATAGAGCATGCAAACTATCATACAGTATCCTTAATTTCACATGCTAGCAATATAATGGTTAGGATCACCCAATGCAGATTATTAAAAGAGATGCCAGATATTCAAGCTGGCTTTAGAAAAGGCTGAGGAACACAATAACCTGCACTATGCTGATGATCCTACCCTAATGGAAAATACAAAGGATCTGCAAGGTCAATACAAAGGAGCATAGTGAAAAAAAATGGAATTAAAATATAAAGAAGACCAAATGAATTACAACAGGTACAACAGCCAGCCCTAGAATTCACAGTAAAGATTTTGAAGTGGTAGATAGCTTCTACCTTTTAGGATCAACTATGAACAATAAAGGAACAAGAGGTCAAGAAATATGCCATAGACTAGCACTTGGGCAGAGAAGCCAAGAAGGCCTTGAAAAAGAAATCCAGATGATGTGATGCGTCTGTACCTATAAAGATCAGATTAGTGCAAGCAATTGTATTCCCTGTGGCCTCTATGGAAGTGAGTGGACAACCAAGCAAATAAATAAATGGATCATCAAACAGATCAATGCAGAGCTGCCACTGAAGGTACAAATGACAAGGCTCTAATTATCCTACTTTGGACATATTATGCAAAGACCTAACTGTCTAGAGAAGGTTCTAATGCTGGAAAAGGTGGAAGGAAAGAGAAGAGGATGACAAGCAGCAAGATGGATGGACTCAGTTATAGTGGTGATGAGTGCACTGTTGGATGCCAGGCTAGGGACAGATTATTGTGGAGAAAATGTGTGTGATTGCTAAGAGTTGACATCAACTTGATGGCACATAATCAGTCAAATAGCTGATGCAGGAAATGATGCAGTATTAAATAAGACATTACAGAAGTATTTGGCTTCAGTCAACTTATTTAATAAGAGACCAGCCCTCACACTCCACAACACACTTTCTAAATAATACAAGCATGCCTATATAACTTGCTGCTATAAAAAAGGCAGATTTCATGCTTGGAATCACTAGGAGGAGAATTGAAAATAGAACTGCTGATACAATGATACCTTTATATAAATCAGTGGTGGAACCACATTGAAAATATTGTGTACAGTTCTGGTCATTACACCTTGAAAAAGACTTTTTTAGAGCTAGAAAAGTTGCAAATAAGGGCAACCAAGATTATTAGAGCAGCTTCCGTATGAGGAAAGGCAATTGGGGATGTTTGCTGGAATGAAGGAGGGTAAGAGGAAGCATAGCTGTACAGAATAATGCATGGTATAATATGGATAGAAGTTGTTCTATCTCTCTTAAGTTAAAACTGGAGGTCATCCATTGAAGCGTTTAACAGAATCAATTCCACTGTTAATCCTATGTATTGAAGATTTGTCTGTAAGAAAAAACATTACATTCATTTTCCTAAGTTTTGATCAAAGGAAGATGAAGTTGGTCAAACAATTAATACCAATTAGAAAAGCTGTGCAGTAAAGAAACTATGTTGGATAGTAGTTTGTTATGGAACTCCTGATATGAACTCATTTGGCATTACATTCCTCCTTCAGAATCAGGCCTAAATATTTGGCATACTTAAATTCAAACTACCTTGTTGCTATTTTTCCCACTAACATAAACTAGATTCACAGCAATGAGCAACTTGCAACAAAAATTAAAATCTAGGCATAGTTTAATAACTGTAGGAATCCTTGAGGCTTACTTAATAGTCCCTATCCTCTTGTAAATAGTACAATCCTGCAAATTTTCAAAGTCTTTAGCAAAAATTGACCCTATGTTACCAAGATTTGTTACAGCTGGTAAAATAATCTGGAAATGTTCACTTTCCTTAAAATACAGTTTAGTATTACAAGATTTTGCACAATTGGATATATTATGTGAGTCCCCAAGTTTCTAATCTTGTGGTTTAAAGGGATGGTGAAAGAATTCCAGAAAACCATGTTTGAAGTAACCTGTTACTCAAAACCATATTTATTTAGACTTACAACAAATGTGATTTCTTGCAGAGGTGGAACACTTATTAAAACCTATTATGGACATAGGGAAATGACTCCAGCTCTACAGGTCCTACTGAGTTGACTGAGGTGTAATCTGACTTGGTTTTCTGGAAGGGGTTTGAGCCTGTTAGTTCCAAGAAAGTGGACAGAGTCCTTGAGGTTGTTAGTGCAGCCACCTGCATATTAGATCCATGACCTGCTTGGTTGGTTAAGGCTTCCTGGGAAGTGACATGGTTGGGTCCAAACTGGTGAATTCATCTTTGAGAGGGGCATGATTCTGGTTGCACTTAAGCAGATAGTGATCCATTTTCTCCTCAAGAAGCTAGCATTATATTGCTAGCATTGGATAATATCCAACTTGTCTCCAACCTTTCCTTTCTGGGGATGGCTATTCAGAATGTGGTTGGACTGCAGCTTAGAGGGCCCTGGAGGAGGCGCATTATCTGGATTCCTCCTGCTAGGGTTTCAGGCCTGAGCACTATACTGAGATGACATTGATCGCCCGTATTGATTAACTATATGACCTTGGATGACCTAGGATGGGGGTTGTGAGTACATCTTGGCCCTTCTTGATCTCTTGGTAACTTTTGATTCCATCATCATGGTATTTTTCTGGACCCACTCAGGAGGTTGGGAATGGAAAGCATAATGTGTGTGGTTCTCCTTCTTTCAGGACCAGTTTGTTTGTTTATTTATTTATTAGATTTATCCCCACCCATCTCCCCCTAATGGGGGACTCCAATACCAGTTGGTATTGGTAGGAGAGAAGAGATCCAGCCCTTGCTTTCTGGGATGCTTCAGAGCTCCATTCTCTTCCATCTCCTATTTAGCATTTACCTGAAGCTGGTGAGTGAGGTCATCCATCATCATGAGGTTAGGTTTCATTAGCATGCTGACGATACCCAATTATATATCTCAAACCTAGGCCAGCCAAGTGATAACATTAAGATTCTGTCTCAGTTTCTGGAGGCTCTGAAAGACTGTAAAGGGAAGAATAGGCTTAGGCTCAATCCTAGCAAGACCAAGTGGCTGTTGATTTTGGGTCCATCTGGCTCTGGATCTTACTGTATATTCTTGCGGATAAGCCGAGAATTTTAGGTCCCAAAGTATACTTCAAAACTTGGGTTTGGGGTATCTGTGGATGGGCTTATCTGTGAGTATATATGGTAGGTTTTTCCCTCAGCTTTTAAAAGGTTCTTGTATATAATCCCATCTGTGGATAAGTGTGATGGAATGGAATTATGAAGGCCAGGCTCAAGGAGATAAACATTTTCTTAGCTCGCCAGAGGAGCGTGGGAGATACAAGAGGATGAGACTGGCACCACTCTGAGGAATTCACAGTGTTGTGGCTGGTTGACTTGGGAGCTGGCGTTTCAGTCTGGGAAGATTCTTGCTAGAGGTGGTAGCTAATAAACGTAGCTGAACTGAATTTGCATTGTCTCTTGGAGTTCCTTGGGCTAGGCCTGACAATAAGCCAACCTTTGATTTTTTAACCAAAATACCATGAACAGTGTGCTACCTGCAGGTAAGTCAATTGTGAAAATGAAAACATACAAAAATTTTGAGGGTTGGCTTATCCACAGGTGGCAAATTGTTCTGGTGGCACATTGTTCATTGTATTTTGGTTAACAATTTGAGGGTCAGCTTATCCATG